CGAACTTTAAAATTTTTTCGATGTGGCACACATGATCACGTGCCGGTGAAAATTTTGGTGGCGATCTAGGGGAAGATCAAAATTCCATATATAGTTCCTATTGGACTAAGAAAAATCCTGTTTTTCGATCAAATAATGGAAGTATCATTGAAGCAGTATAAAAGGTTTAATTGATATATACTATACTGGGAATTTTTTTTGTTAGAACACCAAAGGTGGTTTTTTACCCAAAATTTTAAGTTACTGGCGATTTTTGAAATACTACGAATTTTTTTTGGAAATTTGATGTTACACCTGATTTTATAATTTGATTGGTAGACGAAGAGTAGCATAGTCTACTTTGTCCAATCAGAGACAGCATTTACAAATATCCATCAGAACTGTGAGGAGAAATTAGGGATCCCTAAAATTAATTGCCTGAATATAGAAATATAAGTCCGAATGGCTTGTAGATCACATCACTACCAATTTTTTTTTTGTGACATGACTAATCTACCTGTGAAATGATACGTATCCTATTATAGGAATATGTAGGTTACAATTAAGATATTGTATAATTTATCAGTCTGGTTTAGATAAATTGTTATTTATCAAATAATTTTTTGACACTCATATACATTATGTCCAATAATAATAATAGTAATAATATATATTGTATACAGATAATTGTGGTAATATACATTTGTGTGTCATAATTTAACAGAAGAACAAAATTATAAGATTAAAAGGAATTATCATTAACCGGTTTGGCTATATTTGGTTTAGCGTAGGCTAAATAATATAATTTGAGCTGTTGTTGAAGGCGCTAATGTCTAAAAATAAATAAATATGTATTACTAGATATTAAGATTATGAAAAATTTAAATCATGCCTAGAAATTTGATCCAGTTTTTAATACATATGTCTTGCCTGAAGATACGCCTGCCTAAAATTATTAGCTAATGCATGCAGAATGATGATTTAATTTCAGGTGTTAATTTCAGTCAAGTACAACTGAAGTTACGACTTCAGGCATGGCATATATACAGGATAGCTTACCCAATTTATCCGAATAACTCTAGTTAATAAAGTTATAGTATAACGAAATGTCATTCACAGTCTGTTGCTGATATGCATCCGATATAAAGTAACTGCCTTGCAAAATAATAGGTTGAATGCAAATGTTAGATGCTTCATTATAGACTGGGAGATAAGAAGCTGAAGGACACGTATCAGGCATAACACTTGGCGCATTATTATTTGCTGGGAAGTCAACGTTGAAAGATTGAGTTGAGCTCGGTGTAAAATTTTGTTCAAATTTTTGCAATTTCAAAAGTTCTTTAAACTTTTCTATTTATTTATTTATTTATTATTATCAATGTCTTTCTTTTTTTTCTCTGTGACCTTTAATAAAAAACGACCTAAAAAGTGATGATATAAAAAAAAAGTTGATCTTACCATGCGTAATTTCGATTTTAATGTCATTATTTTCTAATTTCAGATATATTTTATCATTTTCTTGAACAAAGTTGTAGTCAACAGGTGGATCTAATTCAGTAATATATGGTGAATTAACGAACAAAATTATGGATTACCGTATAGCGCTGCTAAAATATCACTCCCATAGCGTTTTAAGTGATTTTATTTTCATCCAATCAATAGTTTTGAAATTAACCAATAAGTCATTATTAAATCTATCGTCTGGCAGCACTACACGGTAAATGTATATATCTGCATGTCAAAATAGTGAAAAAGTCTCATACCCTCCACAGTTGCCTTACAATTCACACAATGAAGCGTAGCCTTATCTACACTACTATTCTCATGACATTCCGCACATTGGAATAAACACTGCCTTTTCTTCATTCTACATCTTGCACACCTGAGAGCTCCCGGCATTCCATTATATTCGCATCTTTTTTTATCTCTACGACAACATGCACATGTATCTGATAATCTCGGATTATCTTTTTCTAATGATTGGAGCGACTCGAGAGATAGTTCCTTTCCGGAAACTTGGTTGTTTGATATGAGATTAGGTGATTCAAAAGCTTATGCAGTATGAAATGATAAGAAATCTTAGTCTTTATATTATTGAATCTACGACAATATGGCTAGGTAAAATTTATTGACCATTGAAAAAATACCGTGCTTTTTTTTTATAGGAGGAGGGATACATGCTAAATGATGTTTAATACATCTTTTACAACGTTTGTATGAAGGACTATGTTCGCATTTCTGCTTCGACTGCTTGCATTCAATACAAGCCAATCTAGAGCGTCGCTTTGAGGACATGTTAAATTAATTTTAAATCATATGGTATCCTGATAAAATGAACCAAATTTACGTCAAACATTGAAATATGTTTTAAATAATAACGTGTGATCTAAATATAATTTCAGCTACAAATTAAAGCTTGTACTCTATACCGATTATAATTATCGGCTTGTAATTTTATTGTAACATTAACTGCAAATAAATGTGACAAATACGCGATATAAATTTAACAAATGCACAGTAGTGGAAAAAGGTTCTATTGCCAAATATGGGGGACGTCTAAAGCCATGTCCAGTCACGTGTTTTTTGTTTTTAATTAAAATTAGGTTAAGGGTTAGTTTGGGGT